TCAATATTTGCAAATGTTGTATATCCATAATGAGATTGTGAGATATCTTTATTTAACATGAATTCTAATAATTTTTAAGGATGGTATCAGAGATATTTTTAGTCAGTATGGTATAATTAAGGAAATGTTCCATCCTCGTCGTGCTACATGGGCCTATGTTACATATGGAACATATCGTGAAGCTGAACTCGCTATGCGAGAATTACATGAAAAGAAACCATTATGCCTGAGAGTGGCATTAGCAAAGGAGAGATCTAGAAGAGAAGAAGTACATTTTGAAAAAACGAAGGTGATAGATACTCCAGATTCATCGCCACCTATTCACAATGATATAAAATAGTAAGCATAATTGATGTTGATTAGTGAAATAATAATTATAAAAGGGTATATTTTTACATATTTAGTATGAGAGAGTAATTGGATAATTTGTAATACATATTATTTTAGTCAGAATATGGGCCATGGTCAACCAACACATGCATTCCGTAAGCATGTAATGCCACATATAACAGTACCATGTAGTTTTCCAAACTACGAATCATCACCTTTGTCTTCGTGTTCACAATCACATGGTATCTATGAGCTCGAGGATCCTTACATGAATACTAATAAATTGTGGACAAGGTTAAATAAATACAATTACATTAAATGATTGTTTAAACTATTGTATTTTATATTTTTTTTTCCATTTTAGAGGTATAATAACTGTTACACCAGATGGAAAAAGACATGTTTCCCTTGGACGTGGTTATACACTGTATGAATATCCAGAACCGCATCCTAAGGTTGAAGAATGTATTTCAAACATATATGAACAACGAAAGAAAGTATGAAATTACAAAAATATATATATAATTAATATAAAATTAATATAAAAATTTGAAAAATTATGTTATATGTTTAGTATATACAATTAATAATGTAATCTGTGTTAAAGAATTAATCAGTTATAATTATTTGTTATACAGGGATTATATGAATATTCCAAAGACAAATTTAAGAATGAAGTGCAGAACTGTTCTGTTTGTTCTACAAAGACAACAAAACATTGTGAAAAATGCCGTACATATTATTGTAGCAAAGCTTGCCAATTGGAAGATTGGCCACGGCATCAGGCTGAATGCGAACGTATTCCGTAAT